CCCCAAAACCCCAAAACCCCAAAACCCCAAAACCCCAGTAAAGAATAGAGCAATTGTTATAATAAATTATCAATATTCTGAATAAAATGAGTTCGAAACACAGCAGTGGTTCTGCAACCGCAAAGGTTGAGGAAACTAGCGGGCAAAATCAAACCGAGGATCCGACCAAGACAGAAATTGAGAGTACCGGAAACCCTCCTGAAGACCTTAAATCTCAAACAGATGCTAAATCTGAGGTTGAACTTCCTGTCCCAGAAGTTGAAGAGGATCTCCTCGATTTGATAAATCACATCAAAAAAGAGAAAATGAAGATTAAATAAATTTATCAAAGATGACAAACTCATGATTGAAGATCTAATCATTTTCAAAGATAAGCTCGGCGATATCACTGGAGAGGAAATGAACGAGCTTATCAACTATATCTCAACTAAGCATAAGAACAAAGTTGACAAATATTGCCTCACATGGGACGAACTTTGGAAAATTATGGTATTTGACTGGCCCATTTGGGAAAATGAGAACAGGAATTTCCAAAAAGTTGATGACTGGATCAGTCAAGAAGATATGTATCAAGAACAACTCTACGAAGAACTTGATGAAGGAAATTTCGAGAGAGAACAAATTAAGGAAAAAGGGAATTTTACACTAAAACTTAAACTTGACAAGCACCAAGAGAAAATCTATGATGTCTTCAGGTCTTATTGTGATAATATCCCTCAGAGTGAATCAGATAGTGACAAAGAGCCTGACATTCAAAGCGTTAAAGATCAGAAATCCGGAATTAATACCAAGAGCGAAATCAATAAGGAAGACAAATCTGATAATATTTCTAAGACTGAAAAGGAAGACCAGACAGAAAAAGACGAGCAAACTGAAAAGAACGATGATCAATCTGAGACTAAGACAATGAACAGAACTGATAAATCTACCACCGAAAAATTAAATAATACCGAAATGCGAGACTCTACTATTACTCTAAAGAAAAACGTTGATGAAAGTATGACTATGCAAATCCCAGTTGTGAAAGTGAATAAACTCGGGAAAATTATAAAAGACCTTGGATATCTCATCGATCTTTCATTTATCACCTATGACGACTATGTTAACCAAACTTTTGAGAGGAAAAAGACACACAAGAGCATTGTCAAACGACTCCAGAAATATTTATGGAAGCGTATCCATATTTCAGAGTGAATTGACAAAGTCCAAAGAGGATCTGCAAAAGGATTTGGCGCCGGAATTCTTAAACCAAGTAAATCAGATCCGAATTATAACGCAACTGATACTTCTATGAAGAAGGACTTGAAACCTGAAGACCAAGAGGCAAGGCCAGAGACTAATGCAAGTGGGACCTCTAGGTCTTCTGATAAGACAAAGAAAACTATAAAGACTGAGAACGAAGACAAGACCGAGAACGATGGGAAAACTGAAAATGAACGGACTGAAAATGATGGTAAAACATCCAGATCTGGCGATTCTGATCACGAAAGTGGTGACAAGACCTCGATGTCACCAGAGACCAAAGAAGTTACAACTGCGAAGGAAGAAGTTGAGAAAGATATTAAGCAATCAACTATCATATTCGAAGATGAAGCTTTTAAGAAGGAAAAATTCTTAAAAGATATCGATGCAAATCTCTTTATAGGATACTTAATTGATTTCTATGAAGAAGAACAGGATATCTTAATTCCATTTTCAGACAGGTTGGATACCAGTAAGCATCCATAAATAATTCGATTCGCTAATATTTATCATAGATATCGATGAGAGAGCTGAAGAAGCATATAAAGCAGCCACTGATCTTAATTATGACCCATTTAAAGAGAAACTACAGAGGACTTTAGAGCAATATGAAGCTGCCATGGATGACCCAGAAGGATTCAGAAATCCAAAAGAAAGAGATATTGCAGCTAAGGTTGTCAATGATCTCAGAAATCAACTTCTCAATATCGACCGTATTAGCAAGAAAGCCGAGACTGAAAGAGATATGAAGAGTATGATAAAATCGGTAACAACTTCCATTGAAGATCGGAGGATCAGAGGTCTTCGTGAAATATTCGGGTTTTACGCTCAACAGCATCTTCCAGAAGGACTTGAATTCGGAGATATTCAAAACAAAAAGAACATTCTCGACCTCGGAGAGTTTTTGATCTTCACTAAGGACTTTCAGTTACCTCTCAACAAGAACAAAATAATAGAAGTCTTTAAGAAAACCAGCTCATTAAGACAACTTCCAGTAAACTTCGAGGAATTCCTAGAAGTTATCAAAAAGATTGGAGTGGAGATGAACAAAGAAAAGATCCTTAGCGTCAAGAAGAGGCTTAAAGAAATCAGAAAACTCGAAAGAGAGCAGCAGCTAAAGAACCCTCCTAAAGAGGAGTCTAAGGAAGACCCCTCTACTCGGAAAGAAGGAGAAACAACTGAGAAAGTCGATGAAGAGGAGAGTAAAGAAGAAACTTCAAAAAATGCAGAAGAGACTTCTAAGCCTAATGAGTCCAAAACAGAAACTTTTGACAACAAGAAGGATGCCGAAGAGTCTGAAAGCAAAAGCAAGACAGGCATGGAGAGCAAGAAATCTATAGGCCAGATTTCTAAGTCTGGAGCTGGCTCTGATGAAGATTCTGAGTCAGAAAGTAAATCTAAGACAACTAAGAAGACAAAGAAGACCAGTAGGACTTCGAAAGCAGGTGAGGACAGTGAGAATGAATCTGAGAGCGGTAGCGAAAGCCCATTGACTAGTAAGAGTAAAAATAAAAGTGTCCGGTTTAGTACACTTGGCAAAAGAAGAAAATCTAAAATTGAGCATTCAGAAATTGGAGAAATGAGATCTCAGGTGGTCGGAAATGAAGGGTTTAGTAGTTCCCAGATTCAAAGCCTTGGAGCCAACTTGAACCCCATCCAGATCCAGAAAGAAAAACTCGAAGCTGAGCTTGAGAAGTTTACTCAAAAATCAGTTGAAATGTGTCATGAAGATATCATGAACTACCTTGAATGCCATGACCCTCAAAAATTTAGGAAGAAAGCCAAGGGAGTTCAAAATGTTCCTTTTGCAATGAAGGACTTTTATTACAGAATTTCAAAAGACGAAATGGAGACTAGAAAGCATACTTCCAAGCTCTCAGCAGCTCAACTTCGTGAGAAAATTGCAGCAATGAAAATAAGGAGAGAAGAAATGAAGAAAAGAAACCAACTTGAAAGAGAAGCTATAAAAGCTAAAGAAAAGATGCTTGAAGACAGAAGAAAGAAAGCTAGCAAGGCTAAACAGATGAATTTAGCCCACGCTATCCAGAAAAACGAAGAGAATGAAGGTATCAACTCTGTCAAAGGAGGAATCTATACCAAAAGCCCATCAAACAAGCTATCATATCGTGCTCAAAAGAATAAAGAAAAAGGTTTGCCTGAAGAAGAAGGGCTGAATACAAAGGTGACTCTAGATTTGCTTCAAAAATTGCATTATAAAGACATACAGCAATCCATGCCTGATGACTTCAAACCTGAAAAATATGTAACCGACGTGGATGACGATGAAGAAGACGATTCTGTATTTGATTATTTCTTCCCTGGAAATAAGAAGAAAAAGCCTAAGAAAAACGCTAAAGGTAACAATTACTCTGAAAAGATCATGAACATCAAAAGAGAATTTGGGGACACCAAGAGTAAAAGACAAGGACAAGATGTAATCTTTGAAGAACAAGAGTCAATGTATAAATCAGATAAAGAGAGTAGAAGAACGAAGACCAACAGATCAATCCAGCCTTCAAATCCTGGTCAAAGTAAGAAGTCTCATAGAAGAGTAGAGAGTCAAATTGCCTTACACTCTAAAGCTAATAAGGACTTAATAAATAATCAGAAAGGAAATATAACAGCAAGAGGGCCTAAGACTAAGAACCTGAATTCTCTGAAAGGGGTTTCAAAGAAATATGTTTCAGGTGGCCAAACATCACGTAAAGCTGGAAGTAACAAGCGCTTATCAAAAGGAGCAAACAAGTCTAAAGATAAGCTTCACAAGAGTAACCAAAAATCTCATATAATGGGGAAAATTGCCAAAATTGAGAACATGAGGAAGAAGCAAGAAAGAGATAACCTTGAAAGAGCAATGAAGACTCATAATAACCAGCTGAGGAGGTCCCAAAAATACCTAAAATAATCTCAATATTCGCCTAAAATACTGGGGTTTTGGGGTTTTGGGGTTTTGGGG